ATTTCCCCAGGGATATTTGCATCACAATATTGTGCTTAATATTTTGTCTGGGGCCTCCCTGGTGGCACAGGCGGTTGAGCACCGCACTGTGAAGCTGTCCGCAGCCTCTGCAGTGCATGTTCGATCCCGGCCGGCCAACGAAATCCCACATGGCACAGCAGACCTCTCCTGTCATGCCCGCTGCTCCCCTCAGCAGTGTATTTCATCAGTCTGCCTGTTCTGTTCCCTGCTCTGTCTCTGGTGAATCCTCTTACCCTCCCCCGCATCTGGCCTATACCCCGGTTCTTGTATAAATAAATAAATCTTTAAAAAAATTTTTTTGTCTGGGCACTGTACCTTCCTGGGGACGCAAGAGAGATTTGTGGAGCTAGTGAGCACAAGCCATTGCTGACATGCTTATGCTGTGCTTACTTCCCCCACTTATGGCGTTGCTTTGGTATTGTTTCCAGGGTTAGCTTTGGGGACCATAGACACAGCAAACAGCCTTAAAGAGCAGGAGAAACTGTCAGTGTCATGATTTCAGAGAGGAGAAAGGGAGTCTGATGGCCCGTTGCCAGTGGCCCCATCTCGGGCATTCCCTGGTGGTACCCACAAGAGCCCCATGTGGTCTGATGGTCTTTTTGTTACTGTGTAATTGTGATCATTTAGGCAGCTTTGGGAATATTGGCAGTTGTGTCTGGGGAGCTCTTCTGAGGGTCTCTCTAGCTCAGGAAGCTGTTGCAGGACTCTTTTTAGTCATTTAGCATGGGCTGCAGGCCTTTAAGAAGCTGAGCAGCAGCAGCCCTTCAGCACCCAGTGAGCACGGTAGATGGACTCTGCAGGTGGTGGGGGTGGCAGGAGGCCAGAGTCAGGGAGAGAAGTCCCTGGCCCCCTGACAGAGTGCTCGTTTTCCTGATTTGTACCATTCCTTAGCCTCCACTCATCATCATTAAACCTCTAATTTCCCCTAGTACAATTGGGCTTCAAGAAATGGAGAGGGAATTGGTGACTTTTTGGTGTAGATTTCTGCTCGTATGCTTCTGGTAATCTCCTGGACTGTGGGTTTGGTGGGTGTGGGTTGCGGTGGATAGATGAGGGATCTGTAGCTCATGGAGAAAGTGAGCAGTGTGGGCATACTTAGCATTATCCTGATGAAAAGCATCATTAGAAATATCATGGTTATAAATGTGGTTCGTGATGGTGCTGATGGCATACTTTGGATAGTAATCTGCTCTGCATTTCAGTTACTGTGTGCTACGTGACTATAACCACTGTTTTATTGCTGCTTCCATGTCTCTGCTCAGGAACTGCTTGTTCTCTGGACGGTAATGACACAATTTACAGAAGAACAAAAAATGATAAACCCCACTTACATGCACACACACAGACATGCACACACGCACGCACGCACTCACTCACTTACTAACCACACACCCCTTCTCCAGAAAGCCAAACCTTGTTTAACTGACAGCGTCAGGGTGAGCAGCTCCTGAAGAGGAGGTTTCTAATCAGGGAGATGCTGAGCAGAGAGGGCCTGCAGCTGAGGCCTGAAATTTACAGCTCCAAGAATCCACTGGCTGTTGCTGCTGCTTATACATCGTAAAGGCTGAGGAATTGTAGTGACTTGTCACAGGGGTGTGCTTACATCTTCATGTTCCATAATTGGAAGGTGAAGGTGCAAGTACCAGGATACTTTACCTGGTTTTACTTCTCTGAGCATAACTAGGGAGTGGAGAATATCGAGATATTTCTCATGTCTTGATGATAGGAATTTCCCTATATTTTGGCAATTGACAGTTTAATAAGAGTCAGTTTCAGTGTTGAGAGATTTGTGCTTTGCCCTTCATTGAGATTTAGGAAATACTGTGATGTGTGAGCTTTGGAGATACCTGGTGATTGTCAGTACTGTATTTTGGGCAGTGGTCTGTACTTTGACGGAGGAACAGTATTGATTTGCTCTTCTAGCTGTTGTGCTTGGTAAAGGCTTTGTGCAATTTTTTCTTCTCTTTGATTTGTAGCTGAGGTGGCGGAATAGTAGGTATCCATTTTGTAATACCTGTTCTCTCACGTAAAGGTGGGATTTTTAAGGATAAGGGATCTCATTACCTGCGATCTTTCTATTCTGTTCACTTGTCCAAGCCATTGTGGTATCTTTTTTTTTTTTTAAGATTGATTTATTTATTTAAGAATGGGGTGCGGGAGGTTGAGAAGATTCACCAGACACAGAGTGGGGAATAGAACAGGCAGACTGACCGAAGTACACTGCTGAGGGGAGCAACGTGTGAGACAAGAGAGGTCTGCCACGCCATGTGGGACCCTCGCCAGCTGGCTGGGATCAAAACTGCGCTGCAGAGGCTGCAGACAGCTTCACAGTGCGGTGCTCAACCGCCTGTGCCACCAGGGGAGGCCCCATTGTGGTATCTTAAGGGGGCAGATGCAGGCACCACCGGCATTTTCACTTGCGTTACTGTGTGCAGATGGTAATGGAATAAGACCTACTACTCTTTTTCTTTCCATTCCTGAATCTATATTTTTGGTTGTACCTCTGGACTGTTTTTAAGTTCCATTTCATAGACATGTTTCTGTAATTGGGCTGGCCTGTGGGGCTCTTCAGTTTGGAGGATCTGGTTGGTACTGCCCAGATGCAGGTAACCAGCCCTTACCTTCTCTTGCCCCCTGTGGCACCACAGATGATGCTTTTTGATTACCCTTGAACTTCATTAAGTTTTTCCGGTCAGGTGAGTTTTGGGTTCTGGCTGGCTAGGTTTTAATACTGAGCCTTTTTGATTCGCACATCTGTCAAAAGGTTATAGCAGAATGGCTGTGTTGATTAAGACTGGCTTTTTTTTGCTGCTTTTAGGGTTGCAAGTTAATCTTATGTATTGTGGAAAATGAAAATTAATTTCTCCCTCTCTTAATCTACTTAGTTCTCTTTCAGACCTTCATTGTATTTCTGGTTGAGGGCTCGTTTTTTTCTACACTGCTCCATTACTTGAGGTGGAAAAACCCAGGGATGTCTTCCACCCACCAGCCACAGTCATCCTTCGGCACTTAGGCTTGATTCCCAGGGTTGTCTTTCTTTTTCCATTCATTCTGTTTGACGGCTCTTTCCTCCTGTTGTCATGCCTGTTGTTTTTGTTTTTTCCTTATATTGTCCCTTAATATATTTTTTACTTATTTTACTGGTGTGTGATTGACTGCTTCTTTGGAAAAGGTCTGCAAATAAATGGGTGTATTCTGTGCTGAAAGATGTGAGGTCCCCTGGGAAATATTGTGAACCCTTTAAGATATCAGTGATTCCCACCATGGCAAAGAAAAGCAGGGCTGCCTTTGTTTCATATATCAAAGGGAGGGAATTTTTTGAGTCTATTCTTACTTACTTATTTATTTATTTAATTTAATTTTATTTTTTAAGATTTATTTATTTTTATACAAGATCTGGGGTACAGGCCAGAGGCTCGAGGATTCACCAGAGACAGGGTGGGGCGCAGAACAGGGAGATCTACTGAAATGCACTGCTGAGGGGAGCAGCGGGCAAGTCATGCGAGGTCTGCTGTGCCATGTGGGTCACCTGCCTGGGGCCGGGGATTGAACTCTTGCTGCAGAGGCTGTAGATAGCTTCATAGTGCTGCGTCTTAACTTGTGCCAGCAGGGAGCCCTCCACCCCCACCCCGGTGTACTCTTAACTGTGGCAGCTGACCCCGTCGTTCATCAGGCTACCTGTTTGGGGCCCGATTGAAGCCTGGAAGAATTGGTTTTGATTAGAAGATAAAGTGGATGGTGACAGTGTTTTGTAGTCAGTAGCTACTGTGTTGTTTGAAAATACCAGATAACCTTGTAACATCAGGCTGTGAATATAATTGGGTGAATTGTAGATGCTGGCCGAATTATGGGTTGTGGTTATAACTAGTTAAACTCTGATGTGCTCCTTGCCTGGTTTCAGTGGAATTTGATCCTGTATAGCATTGATGGAGTGCTCTTACTAAACCTCCACGGATGAAGGGACATTGGTGTATCTGTGCTTGTAAATTACTCCAGCCTGGAAGTTGATCTTTTTCATCCGAGAGTGGGATCCAAAGTGATTCTGGGCTCCAAAACAAATCTTTATATTTATTTATTTATTTATTTATTTATTTATTTTTTTGTTTTTTAAAGGTTAACAACAGATTTATTACAAGGGAAGGGGAATGAGGAAATGTACAATTCAGGGAGAGAAGAGGGAAATAAATTCTTAAATGTGTCCTACCCATTCCGCTGACCTGGAATCCCAAATGACCCGCTGAGACCAAACCTGCCTGGCCAGGAGCACAAGCCAAGTGTGCCCGACCCCACTAACATGGCTGGTTTTTATTTACAAACAGAGAAAATGGCTGCTTAACTCTACCCTTAGGTCCTCGCCACTTCCCTTGGGGGATCCTGGGATTTGTCAAAACAAAGAAAACTTTAGTAGTGCTCTGAAAAAGTGTCTTTCTTTCTGTGTAGCTGAAGCAATATCTTAGCAATTTAATGTTTCTGCCCATGATATTAACAGCTGAACATCTCCTTTCCTCTGTTACGATGACAATTCTTTTGTCCTTCATTGCCTTTGATTTTTTTTCTCTACTGGGCCATTCTATTTTGGTTCTTTCTCATCTAGTGCTGGTACCTTCTTTTAATCTAGCCCTTGTCTCTCTTCCTAGACATTGAGTTAGGGATCATGATTTTAGATTAGAACTGTTTCCAGTAAAATCTTTAGTAATGTGTAGTGACTAAATTTCTGTATTTACAATATTTACACACATGTTGGTCAGGACAAAATATAAACAAGATTGACTATCTTTATGAATGGTAAAGATTCCACCTTGTTGAGAAATCACAATAAGGTCTTTGGGGACTGATAATTATAGCATAGTTTTCTCTAACATGGTTGTACCATCAAGGATGATACTGGGTCTACTCAAGTGGCATCGACTTCTCCCTATTACTGTTTTTTTTTGGGGGGGGGATTGAAACAGGGTTAAGCATTGTTTTCTTGTCCACAGGTGATGCAGGTGTTGAATGCGGATGCCATTGTTGTGAAACTAAACTCTGGTGACTACAAGACCATCCATCTGTCCAGCATCCGGCCACCAAGGCTGGAGGGGGAGAACACACAGGTGAGCATGGGGAAGCAGTGGAACCTCTTTTCAAAAACCAAAAGGAAGAAGCTGGAGAACTAGTTCTGTATGACATATACATGAAAATGTAAAAGGACACTCATTTTAAATCTCAGAACTATTATATACAAATATTTGTGGCCTAGCTGTCACTGGGCAGGCTTTAATTTCTCCTGTGTCACACACTCTGCTGCTATACTTTATTTTGAGTGGGCATTCCCTCATAGGGGACCTGCGAGAAGTGAGGGTTGGCTTAATTGAGATGGCGGATGAATTTTTATTTGTTAACAAGGTCATATTTCTTTGAAAATAAGAAGAGGAAAAAGTCTGTATCTCACATGCAAGTAGTTGGGTCTGTTCTATTTATTTATTTATTTATTTATTTATTTATTTATTTATTAGTGAATGTAAACCTTTGACTTCCATCTTTGTTAATATTTTGACAACATAGGATTTGTCCCCTTAGGTGTGGTCATCAGCTCCCACCATAGTCCACCAATCTCTTCCCTCCACCAGCCCTTCTTGTCCCGCTCCCCCCACCCTCTCCTGGATGCTTCAGATCTGTGGTCAGTTTTCAAAGATTGGTTTTATAGTTTGTCTCTGTCTGACCTTCTACTGATCATTTTGATTGGGCAGTTCATATGGTTTTTGCTGTAGGGAAGAAATGAATCTTTATTCTATATACTCTGGGGTCACCTCATCTTTTGTGATAACAGTGATTATTAGTTACACTGTTTTTGCTATTTATTGTTCCTGGCAGCATAGGGGCTTGTTCAAACAATATGTTATGATTTAGGTACCAATTTTGAGAAATTAATGCTTTGAATGAAAACTACAAGAGTTGGTAGTCTGCATGCCTACATAAGGCAGCTTTTTGAAAAAATTTTGTGGCCATTTTCTTTCTATCTTTGAATTATGCGAGGTTGGGGACAGGGATTGAGGTTGAATTTTTTGTGTGTGTTTGGTTGTGTCTTGTTTTTACAGACATCTTTCCAACTCCTGTTTTTGCCCTCTCATATCTAAAGTGTGTAACTGTAGACTGGCTATAGAACTGGGTCCTCCGGGAAAGCCAGTGCTATTGGTGAGTATTTGGACAGTTTTCCAAAATGAACAGCATGGTTAACATTAGTGCTCTACCTTTTTAATTTATCCCTTTTGTAGTTCGAAAGATGTGAGATTTGCTTTTCGGATGTTTTTGCACATAATACATGTCTTGGTGCATTTGCGAGTTGAGATTCATGCCCTGCTCTCATTTGTGTGGGAGATTAGAGACATCCCCTAAGAGTAAAATAAAAATATCATGATTGTCTTTTGAATCAGATCATGCATAAGAAACACATACAGGATGGGTTCTTTGAATGTCTGGCCAATCAATTCATTCTCTTCCTTTTTTTTCCCCATAGAGGAAGCAATTTAATGCAGCAAACAGTATTGTGGTAAGGCTGAGAATTTAAATGCACGAAAGCCTAGAAATGCCAGAATAAGGTTCTCTCAGTATCTGTAGCTCTGCCTCATTGCACAGAGTAAATATACATCTCCAATTTTATCAGTATTGGGAATAGTCCACAATTCTGCATCTGTGCCATGCTGTTAGAATTAAGGTTCCCACAGCAACCACAACTTTGAAATTCTTGAACGTTAATTTTTGTGCCTGCATCATCAGGCAAAGTATTATGTTAATGTAGACTCTGTTGCTGAATTTTAAACAGTTTTTCGGGGGGTGGGGTGTTAGAGCTTAGGTAGGATGATAGGCTTTCTAGAGTAAGAATTAAACTACTAAGAATTTTTAATTTTTTCGGTATCCTTTGAATTATCCTTTGCATAGATTTCCTTTAACCTAGTAGATGGTGGGAAGTTGTTGGAATATATTTTCTAGTTTAGGCAAGATTCTGTTTATAGATTTCTTGTTCTTTACCAAGGTAGGTTACTGCTTTCTCTCACTTTTTTTTTTTTTAAACTTCTGTTCACCCTGAGATATCACTCCATTTTAAGAAAGTTCTAAGTAGGGCTTAGCTCTCTGAGTCTGTACCATATGGCTTTTGAGCAAAGTGAGGAATGACTTCGCTTATTTGTTAAATTCCTTTGGGTGGTTTTAGTGAGGGGCCACATAGGAAATACATGTACTACTCCCTGGTAGAGGGCACTGTGAAGAGGCCAATTGTAGTGGGTACCAGGGAAATCTTCCCAGGAGCTGCTGGTGTACATCTTGAGTGTTCATGGATGAGGAGAAGTTAGCAGATGGGAGAAAGGGCACCCTAGACAAACACTGTCTAGTAGGTAGATAATACCAGCCACAAATGCAAGCTTCGTTTATCTTAAATTCTCTAGTAGCTTTATTAAAAACCAACACTACTTTAAATGCATTTTATTCGATGTACCGTATCCAAAACTATCATTTCAATATTTAATGAATATTAAAAAAAAGAGTGCATTAAAATTTTTTTATTATTAAGTCTTTGAAATCAGGCATATCTCATACATTTGTTCTAGCCTGTTTCTGGGGCTCAGTAGCCACATGGGTGCAGTGGCTATTGTAGTGGACAACACAGCTTTAGAAATTCAATTGAATGAGTTTGTACCATTGTGCCCACTTTGCACCAGATACTTTGCTGGGAATTCAGCAGTGAATAAACTCTTGTGAAACTTTGAAGTCTAGTAGGGGAGTTACACAAGTAATTTCATTTATGTGAAATGCTATAAAAGTCTAGAATTCATGAGAATGTATAATCTGGGAAGGCTTCTTTGAGGAAGTGACATTTAAGATCTGGAGGGTGATTCGGAGTTAGCTAGGTAAAAAGTGGAGAAGACAGTTTCTGACTAGTTCATTGTCAACGAAAATGTCAAAGGTGTGCTCTGGGGACTGGTCTTGTAGTTGCAGAAACATGTTGCACTTGAGGGTTGTTTGGTGATGGACTCTGGAGGGTCCCTGAATGAAACACTCAAGGAGATTGCTTCAGTTTAAGTTGGGACACTTTCTCTGCTCAGTGGCTTTGAAATGGAGAAAAAGATAACCTGACAGCTTGTGGTTCTGGAGCTCACTCTGAACAAAAGAACAGAGTGTGAGAGGGCGCAAATTAGGACGAGGTGAAGAGGGAAAGTCTTGGCATGCACTTCCTCAAGGACAGGCAGATGGCGTGCAGAGACTCCTGCTGAGGGCAAGGCCTCCTCACAGGTTCCCAGATGACGACTCAATGGGGCTTGCCCTTCAAGTAAGGAAGGGGAGATTCTTTTAATGTTTATCTTTTTCAAACCCTAAAAACTGTAATAACCTGTCAGCAACTAATACACATCTTCTGAGATCTCTATATCTTGTGTGACTAGGATGGCAAGATGGGTTTTCCTTTTCTGTACACAGGACAAGTTCATTTCTTTAAATTATACATGAAGGCAGGGAGTATTGCTCAAGGCTACTGTATGCTTCCACTCCCCTTTGTGGGTGCTTCCTAATTGCAGCCAGAGGAAGGGCTCTGGACAAAACGGCATGATCAAAGGAACTGTTTTCACTCTAGGCAGCTGCTTCCCAACAGTACCCAGGAGTTCATGGGGAACCGCTGCTCCCAGATTTGGACTAGAACTTACTAGAAAGTGTGATGGGAGAGTTCAAAGCAAGGGTGAGGAATGTTTTCCTCAGAAAAATTGCAATTGGATGTCTGATGCTGTTGTCACACTTTATGTGGGACCGTACTTCTGGATTATTCAGTGAATCTGAATAAGTCAACTCCAGTGTCAGTCTGGAGATGTTAATTCCTTCCTGCTGAGAGCCATATTGGATACTGATGCGTGGCACTCCCGTGCACCTAAGGGTGTGTCAGCATTTCTCATAGGCACTGTTTTTTTGTTTTATTCAGTTATTTTGTGCATAGAAGCAGGTGCTGAGTCTTGGAGAAAGGCTATGAGTTTTCTGAGCTTCTGCCTTAAAGGCGATAACACATTGTGTCATCTCAGACTTCCTGGAGAGCAGAAGGCTTTGATCTGCAACTGGAAAACCTCGTGCTCTATTGCCCGGTGCTGCTATGGGCTTTGTGTTACACTCAGAGTGTTAATGACAAAGAAATATAGCCCCGGGGCATCCAGGGAAGGGGCTGACTTTTTCCCCCAGGAAGTCAGCTCCTGCAGAGCTTATTTAGTGGGCAAAGAGAAACTGAGTTGAAATTTACCTTGAAAACAAGTATATAATTTACCCACCCCCAGGTGATAAGGCTAGAAGGCTCACTTTCAGCAGTGGACCTTTTCCCTTTCCTTCGTCTGTGTCTGTCTCTGTCTGTCTGTCACACACACAGCCCTTCAACTTGGACCTCTGGGAAGTGTACAAATTTGCATGTGGGGCCTTTTGCCTCATCTCACAGTCCCCTGCCATCAACTTGGATTCATTTCTATCACTCTATTTTAGCCATCATCCTGGAATTTATTTCCCATGTAAATGTTCTTTAATAGCAGGGCTTTTAAATATTCAGACCTGGGCACTAAAGGATCAGTTTCGTTAAAACTGTGCTCTGCCTAAGCTCCCCTGTTGCCTTTTGGCGGAAGTGTTGTTTCCCAGACTTGACCCCACTGGGTCTCCTGTGTAGGCAGTCGAGGGTAGACGGAGCTGCAGGTAGGATCATTATTAGCAATGCCCTGGCATTCTTTAGGACCTTTTGTCACAGGCAGGGCACTTTCGGGTGCTAATAACTCCATTCGTTGTACAGGGCCCCAGAGTGCTTTGCCATTTAGACACGATTAAAAGTGGTTCTCAACCTGTTCCCTTCAGTGTAGATTTCTGAAAGCGAGATGACTGGTCCCGCTGGACCCGAAAGCAGACGATGCTGCTACTGAGATGCAGGCCCACAGAAAGCTGTGGGGCTGCGGTCTCAAGTGAAGTAGGGGCAAACCGATAAACCCACGGACTGTGATCCCTCACCTGTCACTGGGAGCATAAGGCAAACAGCAAATTAGATGGGGACTCCAGCTTGGCATTAAGGACCTTGGAGAAAAGCAAAAGCTCTTTGAAATGGATATAG